CCATTAAGCCTACATGCTACATTACTTCGAGTTTGAGCAATCAACTCACTCGATTATTAAGCCTAAGGGCTACATTACTTCGAGTTCAAGAAATTAACTCACTCGACTATTAAGCCTAAGGGCTGCATTACTTCGAGTTCGAACAATCAACTCACTCGACTATTAAAGCCTAAGGGCTATATTACTTTGAGTTCGAGCAATCAACTCACTTGACCATTCAGCCTATGGGCTATAATACTTCGAGTTTGAGCAATCAACTCACTCGATTATTAAGCCTAAGGGCTACATTACTTCGAGTTCGAGCAATCAACTCACTCGACTATTAATCCTAATTGATACATTACTTTGAGTTCGAGCAATCAACTCACTTGACCATTCAGCCTATGGGCTATAATACTTCGAGTTTGAGCAATCAACTCACTCGACTATTAAACCTAAGGGCTACATTACTTCGAGTTCGAGCAATCAACTCACTCGACTATTAAGCCTAAGGGCTACATTACTTCGAGTTCGAACAATCAATTCTCTCGACTACTAAGCCTAAGGGTTACATTATTTCGAGTTCGAGCAAGCACTCACTCGGTTATAAAGACCACAAAGTTCTAATTCAATCAAATTGCCTAATGCCTCGAATTTATGAAAACTTTCATAAGGCATTAATGAAACAAGACCATCACAAGGTAGAAAATAAGATAGAGATGAATCAGGAAAAGATCTTTATATATACAAATATGTTTACAACGTCCGAACAGGACCCTACACAGAAAATAGAAAAACTTCTAAGTCTCCTGGTTTTCTTTGGGGGCGGTCTCTTCTCCATCGGGCTCCTCCCCGCTCTCGAATTCACCCTCTCTCCCATCATCATCATCATCATCATCATCGGAATCCAAGGCTGCAGCATCGACTTCGAGATCTTTAGCCCTTTTTATCTCTTCGGCGAGATCGAAACCTCGAGCATGGATCTCCTCGAGGGTCTCCCTCCGAGATCGGCATTTAACAAGTTCAGCAACCCAATGTTCTTGAGTGTTAGCGGTCTTGGTCGCCTCTCTTACTTGTACCTAAACAGCTTCAGCATCCGCCCGATAGGCGGCCACTAATGCATTCGCATTGGCCTTTGCTTTTCTGGCATCAGATTTGGCCTTGGCAAGTTCGGAGGCCAACTGAGCCTCGAGCTCCTCTATTTTTCTTGCTTGAACTGAGCTCTTCTCCTTCATGCTTTGAAGTTGGTTTTCGGCCGATGATAATTGGGTTCGAGCAGTTTCTTTTTCTGCGGCAAGACGATCCATACCATCTTTCCATCCCAAGGACTCCGCCCTTAGCATATCGACCTCCTCATGAAACTTCCCAATCAACTCAAGCTTCTGTTGCAGTTGTGAGATCGAAATATTGGCCACCGTTCTAGGATTGAGCCCATGGGTTTTTAAGATTATTATTACCTGCTCGATCAGGTCAGTCTGGTCTTGATCAGCCTTGGCCAACTCAGCTCGGAGGTCTTTGATTTCTTCTTCCCTTTGCCCGAAGAGGAGTCTAAGGGCGTTCCTCTCCTCCATGACCCGTCGGAGGTCGGCCTCGTATCGATGCAGCTCAGCTCGAGACCGAGAACATGCCTCCCGATGAACCGTTGCATCTTACGTAAGAAAGAAAAAAAGAAGTCAGAGAAGAATAGCAAACATAAAAGTAATATCAACTAAGGGAGTTAAAGCTTACCCCATTCAGAGCTTGTTGCACTTCACAGAAAAGGCCCGACATATCACAAGGGCCAGCAACATCCTTGACTTCAGTAAACAAATCACAAAAGGGGTCCTCCCCTTCATGAGATCGGTTTATCTCGAGGGCCCCCAAATCTTGGGCTTACAGAATCTCCCCTTCGGAAAAAGGCAGGGGGAGTGGGTGAGTCTCCGATTACTATTGCCCCAAGCGACTCGCGTGGGGCATTCTACTCAGTTCGGAGAGCTTCAGGACCGGCCCCTTCTGATATACCCACCGTTTGTTGACTTCGGTAGTAAGCAATCTCGATTTTTAGCGATTCGGGGACTCTGCCCGAACCTTCCTCCGATATCTCCTCAGTCCGAGGCGGAGCTTTATAAATCACCATCGATTCAGATGCCTTTGGGGCATAAATGGTTTTCTTCATTCGGGCCACCAGCACGGACCCGTCATTTTCTTTTTCTTCTTCATCTTTATCTCTTAGACGCAGAACTGATTCTAAGGACAAAGGGATGTTATTCTTACTCGGCTTACGAGCCATCCTTGTCTTCGATTTTGGATCTTCGGAAGCTGAGGCCCTTTTCTCTTATTATCCTTCACCGGTTTTGGAACAGAGGACAAAGCCTCTTCCTCGACGGACAAGGCCCTCAAAACCGCATCTTTGCCCAGGCCTACATACAAGAAAATTGATTTAAGTATATGGAGAGCATCTCGTTTAAACTATCAAAGATACGAGAAAGAGGCTTACCATGATTTTTGGTCTCCCATAGGCCCTTTGACAAATCACGCCATGAGTGCTCGACGTATGAGGAGGTCGAAGCCAGGTCCCGTACCTAGTTCTTGAGGTCAGGGGCTGCACCGGGCATCCAAGAAACCGCTGTATCACAAAAGGGGATATCAGTGAGAAAGAAAACAAAGGAGCAAAACAATAGGGAGATAACAGCAGAGTTACACTTATGCTTCATGTTCCACTCCTCTTGAAATGGCATCTTCTCGGCCGGTATTAGGTCCAAAGTCTTCACTCGAATGAACCGGCCCATCCAGCCTCGATCCTTGTCCTCGTCTAAGCTCGAAAACAGAACCTCGGTAGCCCGGCACTGAAGTTTTATTAACTCGCCTCGAAAGAGACGGGGGCAGTACAATCGAATGAGATGGTCGAGGGTGAAAGGCATCCCCTTGATTTTATTCATGAAGAAACGAATTAAAATAACGATCCGCCAAAAAGAAGGATGGATCTGGCTTAAGGTTATTTGGTATTGACGGCAGAAATCAATAATAACAGAGTTGAGAGGACCTAATGTGAAAGGGTAAGTATACATAGTTAAAAACCCTTTCACGTGGGTGGTGATATCTTCTTCAGGAGTCGGGATTACTACTACTTTGTTCTCCCAATTGCAATCTTTTCTTATCTGTTCGAGGTACCCCTCGGTTATCGAATACATAAACCTCGATCTTGGCTCACATCGGCTGGGAACCGACGAGCCTTTGTCGACCTTAAAATCAGAGGTAAGAACACATGCCCCAGGAACGTACTCCTCAGGTCGTGGCTCCACCAGTATTTTGTCGGCGGAAGACTGTGAAGAAGAAGCTTTTTCTTTTTGAGAAATGGTTTTTGATGTTTTCGCCATTTTGGGTTTAAAGATTGAAAATAGAAGAAGGTAACAAAGATTTGGTATTTTTGAAGAAAGATTTTGCAGTAAAAAATCACAGATTTACAGATGAACTCAGAAGAAGAACTTAGAAAATTTGGAGATTGAAGATGTAAAAATGATAAATGGTAAAAGGGTGGGCTATTATAGATTGAGCAATGGCGGTTCAATATCAGCGGTGGCCGACCATCGTCTGACACGCATTAAATGTCTTGGTAAACTAAACCGACGGGACAGCTATAACGTACATCATGGTCAGGCTCGATGCAAACGTCAGTGCATATCCAATCGAGCTGTTGGGAAATCATATCGTTTCTCGCCACATCCTTCCCGAGAAACGAGGGGACTATCTGTATACGGTCGAAACTGACTTCGGCCTTCGTACGACTGATCGAGATGGGATCATATTGGACCGAAGAAAGTCTTCATAATATCGAGATGGGATCCGAAGATGGCACAAACGAGTTTCAAATTTCAGGTACGGTCAAATATCGAGTTCGAAGTCATTATCGAGCTCACGTCTGAATCGAACTATGATGAGATGTGATGGAATCGAGCTTAAGGGCCAGAGGCCAACTGATACCGAGCCCAAGTCATTACCGGATCCCGAGTCGACATCGACCTCAAACGCACATCGAGCTCTAAAACTGGAAACCGACCAATGCTGAGTCCGATCAAGACTGAGCTCATAGACAAGAGTCGTTGCAGCCGCACTAAGGGAGAGAATCTCGGCGAGAATTAGGGAAAACCTGATTTATTATGGGTTTCCCACTATGTATTTCTAATTATATCTAAAATAGGATCCCCCACTATAAAAGGGATGACTATATTTCTGTGAAGGACCAAATTTGGTATACATTGTAATTCAGATATCATACACTCTCATACCGAAGAATTGTCCTTTTTTAGCTTCATAGAATGATTCTTCTTGCTTAATCCATAAATCATCATCTTTTCAACTTTGCTTATTTTTCATTCTTTACAGTCAATATTCGATATTTCTATTTACTCTTACGAATTGTGTCAAGTTATACCACATACTCTTAGAACTACGTACAAATTCAACTTTATACGTTTTCGGATAAACATTGTTCATATTTAAAATTTTAAATACAAAAACATGGTAAGATACTGTTAATTTAAAAGGCTCAATTTGTAGCTCTGTGTCTAGCCACTGTTTGTTGTTACTAATATAAAATACTCAAAACTGTAGATACTGCAATCTTGTTTCTTATTTTTTTCAAATAACGTCAACTCGTCAAGTACTGCTTCAAATAGTTTACTCTATTTTTGGATACCAATGCACGTCTCTTCTCCCTCAGTTAAAGCCAGATGGAATCTAGTGTATTGAGAGGAAATCTTTAAAATGCTAAAAGAATTGTCAAACAAATGACGAAGAGTACTAGATGAGATCTAACGTCGCAAATTATATTAGTTATATGAGGTGAAATCACGTAAAGTTGCCAAATTGAATGCTCCATGTGAGGTGGTTAATTATGTCCCTCCCTATGGTTCTGCAAAGGGAGTAAAATTATTTAATTTAATTAATCAGTAACCACACTTATCCCCTTTTTAAAAAAATATGTCATCAGAGCGCCAAGCTAATCATCAACCAACAACCCACATATATAGACGTACACATTTATTGATTTTTCTCATATAGTTATAGTGTAATCTTGAAATAAGCTTCTTCTAGTACTTCTATACATTTTTTCAAAACAAATACTTTCAGTTTGTAACCTCTTATTAGATGCACGAGTTTTGCAAGTCCACATGGCTAATTCAGTGATACCAATTGTTGATCTCTCTCCTTTCTTCAGACAAGGAGATAAAGATGGCAAGAGAAAGGTGAGAGAAGTGATAGACGAAACGTGTTCTCGATATGGTTTCTTCCAAATTATCAATCATGGGGTGCCTTTGGACTTAATGAGCCGTGCCCTGAAACTATCAAAAATATTCTTTGAGTCTTCAGTTGAAGAGAAAATGAATTGTTCTCCATTGCCAGGGTCACCTTTTCCTGCTGGCTATAATAGAAAACCAAATCCATCTTATGAGTTTGCAGAGTTCTTGGTTATGCTTCAACCTGGATCCAACTTCAATGTTTTTCCTTCTAATCATTCACATCTCCGGTAAGTTATATGTAATATTAGGACTTAAGTTATATGCATAAGAATCGTCTCACTACTGTTTATCAACAAATATATAAGGATGAGGTTAGTTTTTTCTTTTCCTTTGTATCAAAAGATCTGTTAAAACTTTATACAATGCTTTTATAAATTTTTGGTCCTCTTCCTAGTTACTTAGAAAAAGTGAGCCACCTGTTTAGGTACAAGACACTATCATTACTACTTGGACAATTAGACATCCAACCCGCATAGATTACATTATCACTATACTTTTATAACCATGTTACCAATTAAAATTTGTCATATAATTTACTTATATACTTTATAAGTGATCTAATCGTGTAAATATTTTTTATACAATCTGTACATAAAACTTAAGCTCACAATAGCAACACTTTTATTTTTTCTCTTTTTGCAAAAACTAATTAAGTTGTTTATTTGTAAAGTGGCTCCTAGTTAAACTGGTGGCTAGCATACTTCCCCGTGTCCAAGTTTTCACATTCTGTGCTATCTAATGATTCTTGGCCTCAATGATTGTGGAAACCCTTTAGCTAATACATTCATTTTGTAAGATAAGAATTAGCACGTTATTGGATCTTTTCGGATTACTACTGAAGTATACAAAATTTGTAAACTATGGCATACGATACAGACTTGATAACTTAGAAACAAAGTTGCAGCCATCTTTTTTTATTTATGACAGAGCTGCCCATGAACTGAATAATTTATATGGGGCTGAAATGATTAAGGGCTACTTAATTCTATGTCCCCTTTTATCCATTAATTAGAGTGAATGATTGCATTACTCTATTAATCTAATGTATAGAATACTAATCTAATTCCTATCACCCTTTAGGGCATGAAAAGATGAATAGTTAAAATATAAAGAATAAAACTTGACTCTCAAGTTAAACGAATAGCCATTGAGAAGATAATTCAATAATTCATGTTTCTTCAATAATGTTTCAGAGCAGTAATGGAAGATTTATTCGATCAATTTGTGAAGATTGGAGCAATTTTAGAGAGCATACTGAGTGAATCCTTGGGTCTACCTCTTAGCACTTTCCAAGAATTTAACAATGACAGAAATTCAGATGTGTTGACAGCTCTATATTACTTACCAGCAACAGAGAAGGAAAAGATGGGAATAAGTTCACATAGAGATGTTGGATGCATAACATTTGTGTTACAGGATGAAATTGGAGGACTTGAAGTTCTAAAGGATGATAAATGGATCCCTGTAACTCCAAAGGAGGGTGCCCTTGTTGTCAACATTGGTATTATTCTTCAGGTACAAAAAGAAAATATTATTTACACTCAGTGTATATACGTATAAGTTAATAGTTTTGCTTATGAGCTTTATCTTTTTCCTTTTTGTTGAAGGTGCTGACAAATAACAAATACAAGAGTCCAAATCATAGGGTGGTGAGACCCAACGGAAGATCAAGAAATTCATTTTCATTCTTCTATAATATATCAGGGGGAAAATGGGTTGAACCACTTCCAGATTTCACTAAGCAGATTGCTGAGAAACCCAAGTATAAGGGATTTTTTTACAGTGACTATTTGCAAAAGCGCAAGGAAAATAAGCTCAAGCGTACTTCTGGACTTGAAGACGATCTTGGCTTATCTCATTTTTCACTCACTGTATAAAAGATCATTTATGTGTCTCTTATCAAGCATTGTTTCTCTTCATTTCCATATGCTTTTTAACTTTCTAAATTTGTACACATTTGCCTAGTCTCCCCTTGATGATATGGCAATATTTTAAAGCCCTTTGTTGACAAATGTCTTAAACAAAAGCATGTGGCAGCCCGTCTAGAAGCTATGAGATAAATAGCAAGAAACTTTTGAAAAATGGCATTTGCCACGTTCTTTCCTCTCAGCATATGGATCCATGCACATGTGCCTATAAATAGGCTCTCAATATAGACAAGAAAATCATTCATTAGCGAGACAAAGAAATCCTTCTACTTCTTTCCTTCTAATTTCGGTCTTCATCACCTTTCCTTTATTTTTTCTTCTCAAAGTTTAGTAGTTTAATTTCTTTTGTTTCTCTCTTTTAACTAGTTGAGTTTGTAATTTAATTTTGCTTATTCATGTATCCTTTTAAATGGAGGTAGACTTGTTTAATCCTGCGGAGACATTTCATACTGTTAAAATAATTTCTTAGGACAGTGCATAGCACGACTTAAGTCAACCCGTTTATCCGCTTACAAATAATATTATAGCAGTATTATTATTGATATTTTTGCTCTCATTTCCTACAAACTAAGAAACTATGGCAAACAATACTGATACTGAAAATACTACTGATACTACCAATATTGGCGCTACCTCCGTTGTTCCAGCCTCAGTTGCACTACCATATGCCAGACCATTTCCAGATGTGTCAAATATTGAAATTTTTGCCAATGAAAATTTCAAGCGTTGGCAAGAACATATTTTCTCACTACTTGATATCCATGGTATTGCACATGCATTGCTGCATCCATAACCTAGTGCAGACGCTGATAATAAAATAGTGGAATCATGGCAACATGCCAACAAGGTATGGTGTCATACTATATTACAAATTATTTTTAATGAACTGTTTAATGTATATTGCAGTTATAAGGAAGAAAAAGGTATCTCGGAAGCCTTAATTAAAAAATTCACTGCTGAAGATACTACAAAATAAAAATTTGTAGTAGAAATTTTTTATCAGTGGCAGATGAGAGATGACAAAGAGATGAACGTGCAAATCAACGAATATCAAAAATTGCTAGAAGACTTGAAGGCCGAGGGGATGTCTTTACCAAAAATGTTTGTTGCTGGAGTGTTAATTGAGAAGTTGTCTAATTGATGGAGTGACTATAAAAATAACTTAAAGCACAAACAGAGAAATTTTACCATTAAGAAAATTGTGACCCACATCCTAATTGAAGATTCCAACATAAAAGAGTCTGTCAAAGCTAGGATGACAGCTCTTAAAGCAAATTTAGTGCAAAGCAGCAACAACAACAACAACAACAACAACAACAACAACAACAACAACAACAACAACAACAACAACAACAACAGCAAAAGGTACGAGAATAAGTCTCGAGGTTACAAGCCTAAAAATTCTAACCTTAAAAGAAAAAAAAAAAAGCTCTTGTTTTGTTTGTGAAAAATTAGGCCATTATGCCTCACAGTGCAGGTACAGAGCAGGAAATGACAAAGGAAAAACTAATACTCCTAAGGGAAAATTAGCTGAAGGAGATGATATTATTGCAGTTGTCATTTCTCAAGTAAACATTGTAGCACATGCAAAAGAATGGGTGGTAGACTCTGGGGCTACTCAGCACATTTGTGCAAATCGAGAAGCATTTTTCTCTTATACTCCTATAGAGGATGATAGAGAAGAGGTCTACCTTAGAGACTCAAGTACTACCAAAGTCTTGGGTAAGGGTAAAGTTCTCTTGAAACTCACTTCGAGAAAAACTTTAGCCCTTGTTGATGTACTGCTTGTTCCTACTATGAGGGCAAACTTGATTTCTGTATCCTTGTTGGAAAGAACCGGAGTAAAAGTGTCATTTAAATCTGATAAGATCATAATGACCAAAATCAATGTGTTTGTGGGAAAGGGCTATTGTAACAAAGGACTCTTTGTACTTAATGTATCTAATGTTATCAATGAAAATGTATATGCTTCTGCTTATATGGTTGAGTCTATTTCTTTATGGCATGCTAGAATAGGACATATTAATATCGCATATATAAGAATAATGCAGTCACTAGGCTTAATATCTGGCTTAGACTCAAACGATTTAGACAAGTGTGAAATATGTGTTGAAGCAAAAAGTACCAGAAAGACTTATTTTTCTGTAAATAGAGACTGATTTATTATCCTTGATTCACACTGATTTAGGCGATCTAAAGTAGACTATGACTAGAGGTGGTAAAAGATATTATGTGACTTTTATTGATGATTTTTCTAGATTTACTAAGTTGTATTTTCTTAGAAATAAAGATGATGCCTTTAATTCTTTTATTTCTTATAAAACTGAGGTTGAAAATTAACTTAGTAGAAAAATCAAGAGAATTAGATATGATAGAGGTGGAGAATAATTATCTTTAAATGATTTTTGTGAAAAGAATGGAATTTTCATGAATTAACTCCGCCATATTCTCCCGAGTCAAATGGAGTAGCTGAAATAAAAAAAATAGAACATTGAAAAAGATGATGAGCTCTATGTTAGTTAGTTCTAATGCACCAGATAATTTGTGGGGTGAAGCTACATTATCTGCATGTCACTTATTAAATAGAATACCACATAGAAGAACTAGCAAAACTCCTTATGAATTGTGGAAGGGTTATAAACCTAACTTGAAATATTTAAAAGTGTGGGGGTGCCTTGCTAAAGTTCTTTTACCTTAACCTAAAAAGAGAAAAATAGGTTATATAACTGCAGATTGCATGCTTATTGGATATGCTGAACATAGTGATACATATAGATTTCTTGTTTTAAAAAGTGATGTGCTTTATTGCAATACTATAATTGAGACAAAGAATGCTGAGTTCTTTGAATATATTTATCAACTGTCTAATAAAATTTCTCATACACTTATCGAAACAAATAATAAAATTACCTCTAATGAGGAACTGAGAATGAGCAAAAGGCCTAGGAAAGAATATTTTTCTTGTGAAAATAATTTTCAGACTTTTCTTGTCAATAATGAATCATCAAATTATTTTGAAGCTATATCTTTTTCAGTAGCTAATTATTGAAAAGAGACAATAAAAGTTGAAATCGATTCTATTTTGAAAAATAAAATATGAATTTTAACAGATTTACCTCTTGATACAAAGCCTATTGGTTGTAAATAGATTTTCAAAAAGAAATTTAATCTTGATGGATCTTTAGTTAAATATAAAGCTCGGTTAGTAGCAAAGGGATTCTCTCAAAAATAAAATATAAATTATTTTGATACATTTGCACCGGTGACTAGAATTTCTTTTATTCGAGTTTTAATTTCCTTAGCTACTATCCATAAGCTTTTTATCCATCAAATGGATGTCAAAACAGCTTTTTTAAATGGTGATTTAGAAGAAGAAATTTATATGGTTCAACCTGAAGGTTGTGTCATTCCTGGACAAGAAAATAAAATTTGTAAATTAATTAAATCTCTTTATGGCCTTAAACAAGCTCCTAAGGAGTGGTATGAGAAATTTGAACAAGTCTTACTAAGAGATGATTTTTCTTCAGTCGAGGTGGATAAATATGTTTGTACTAAAGTGGTAGAAAATAATTATGTGATAATATGCCTATATGTTGATCACATACTTATATTTGGTACAAGTTTAAATATTGTGCAAAGTACTAAATTATTTTTGTCTGCTAATTTTGATATGAAAGATCTAGGTGAAGTAAATACAATATTGGGAGTTAAAGTTATAAGGAGTGAAGATGGAATAATGTTGTCACAAGAACATTATGTTGAAATACTTCTTAAAAAGTTTGAATATTTTAATGTCACACTTGTAAGCACTCCTTTTGATGCTAACTCGCACTTGAAAAAGAATAATGGTGACCCAGTTGCTCAGTCTAAATATGCGCATATTATTGGGAGTCTGATGCATTTAATGAGTTTTACAAGGCCTGATATAACCTATGTTGTATGTAAACTGAGTAGATATACTCATAATCCCAACAGAGAGCAGTGGTCTGCATTCGATAGACTAATAAAATATTTGAGAGGAACCATGAATTAGGTATCCTATATAGTGAATTTTCTTCTAGTTTAGAAGGGTACAGTGATGCAAATTGGATCTCTGATTCAGATGAAATAAAATTCACTAGTGGTTATGTATTCACCCTTGGTGGTGATGTAATATCATAAAAATCAGCTAAACAGATAATCATTGCTAGATCGACTATGGAATAAGAGTTTGTAGCTCTGGAGTTAGTTGGTTATGAGGATTAGTGGCTAAGAAACTTCTTAGCTAATATCTCTTTAATAAAGGATGTATTGCCTCTTGTGTCTATGCATTGTGATTATCAAGCGGCAATAGCTATTGCAAAGAATAAATCTTATAATTGTAAAAGTAGACACATGAAATTGAGACATGATGTCATAAAACAGTTGTTGAGAAATGAAATAATTTTCATTGACTATGGGAAGTCGGAGATAAATTTGGTTGGTCCTCTGACTAAACCTGTGAGAAGAAAATTAATTCATCAAACCTCAAAAAAGATGGGGTTAAGGCTGACATGTTGTCAGTAGAGATGGTAACCCAACCTATGTGATTGGAGATTCCATGAAGTAGGTTCATATGGGTAATAACAAGTTGATATTGACACTGAAGTACTAAAAGAGAGTGTTTGACTGCTACTAATTGAGAGGTTGAGTTATAACTCTTAAATGAATTTATATTCCTTATGGATGGTGTATTTAAAAGCAGTATACACTTGATGAATTCACCTATATGAGAGTGGAGTGGGGCCGCTCCTATGTGATTTTGGCCTAGTCTCTCGAGCTCTAATATGAATAACTAGGCACGTGCATGACCTAGTGTCACACCTCCTTTTTCCCGAAGAGGATATGGTATTTTTTCAATTAAAGTGACGTTAATCGAAATGGAATTATTTATTTATCAGAGTCGTCACTTGGAATAGTTGTTATAGTGTCCCAAGTCACCAGTTTATTTTAAATCCCAAATCGAGGAAATTGACTCTATTTTATGGTCCGCGAACACAAAAGGCCGGGTAAGGAATTTTGTTAACCCGGGAGAAGGTGTGAGGCACTCTCGAGTTCCGTGGTTTTAGCACGGTCGCTTAACAATTAATACTTGGCCTAATTATTTGATTTAATACATATTTAAAGCCTATTATGCATTTTTACTTTTTAACCGATTTTAATTATTTATGAAATTATTTCTGGAACAAGTCACGATGTCGTACACTTGTCGTTTTGGC